AAGAATCCTGTTTGATCCGGTGACACTCCAAAATTGGAATTTAAAATACACTCCATGTGGTCTAGTGGGTAGAAAGGTAGTGAGGAGGATATTGTTGGGAAAGAGAGTGGAGGTAGAGAGAGTGGCAAGGATCTGTGCCTTCCTTTTGGTTATTGTTCCCGAACTGCAGCAGGGAGAAGCAGACATTTTTTTCTCTGGTCTCCCCTAGGACCCGGGACCTGAAGTGGAGTGCAGTGATTATTAACAAGACAGAATTTCCCACCTGCCTGGGAGTGAGCAGTTCAGGTACTACAAGTAAACCAAACCCACAGCATCATCCTCTCTTGTCTATACCTTTGTGAACTGAATGAAATCGACACAAAAATGCACCCAAGTCACTTGGCTGGTTCTGCTGTCTGTCAGGGCTTTGCATAACTGGGGAGGGGAAAGAGGTAAATGATTGAGGGCAGAGGTGGAATGAGGCATTGTCTGCAGCCTGACTGACCACTGACTACATGCCCCTTTCCAGGAAACAGACCTTGACGTCCAGCAGTCTGCAGCTCTGAAATGATCTTTAGGGTCAACCTAGGGCCCTCTGAAGGAAACCCACGAACCTTTTCTCAGCTCATGTGTCTGTCTTTACAGCAGAAAGATCTGACTCATTTTTTCACCAGGCTGAAGATGGTGACCTTCTGTCTACATATAATACAGAGGAAGACAGCTCGACTTCATTATCCAAGTGCTTGGGGAGCTGTGATGAGGGGATGAATTCTCAGGTCATCCTAGGAATGGCCAGTCTCTAAAATAAGAAGGGCTAGGAGCTGGAAACACAACACCTGGACAGTGGGAAAATATCACCTCATTGTCTCCTTTTAGATCTCAGATGGATGCATCTTTTCTCTTGTTCTTTGCACTTCCCTGTCCTCCCCATGTAGACTGTGGAAGAGAGAGAGGGCTAAGGTTTATGGGTGGGAGGAGAAACAATCCTACCCCTCCCATGTTTCCTCTTAGGACCTAAGGAACTAAGGAAAGGGCCAAACTAAACAGTTTAAATCACTAGGTATGAGGCACATGAGATAATACTCTCTGGGTTTTTTGGATATACCCTTGAGTATTTGAGCCCTGTGTTTATAGAAAGGCCCCACAAAGTCACTGCTATTCAGTGTTTGGGCAGGGGTGAGGGAAGTAGGGCAGCAGAGTTGAATTTGAATTTTATAATAATTAGTTTTGAAGCCAAAGATGCCCTCAAACAAAGTTAGCTCTATCAAGTGAGATTTGAAATTATACGGAAGTCTCAATGAACTATTCTGCCTGGGGCAGGGTAGCAAAAAGGTGGAAGAGACAGGAACCACTGCCTTTGGTGGCAGTCCTGACCGGAAGTCTCTAATGCATGCTCATCAAAAGGGCTCAGTGTTGTTTGGGCCAGAAAGATGTTTTTGGGCTCCTCTGCTAACAAAGAATCTGGCCGTGAAAATCCAATTTAGTAAGCCTCTCTTCATGTGGAGGGCCTGGGGCAGGGATGTTGTAGGACCTGGGGAATCTTGGAGCTAGAATGGAGCTGAGAGATGATCTCCAATCTCTTGGTTTTTAACAGAAGAAGAAATTCAGCTGAGTCACCCATCTGGTTAGCAACAGAATTAAGACAAATAGAACCCAGGTTACCAAGCAGGTAACCAGTCTTTCCACTACAGTACAAAGTTACATCTTGCCACAGTGGGAAGGTTTGGGGTCACCACGCTTACCTTCTTTCTCAGGTGTTGAAATGAACAATTTGGGGGTCTGCATCTGAACATTTGGGAGTCTATAAGGTTGATGCCATTCCCACTGGTGGGGTGGGAGGAGACAGGCCATTCATATCAGCACTATCCTTTCTTAGATGCTTCCGTCAGATAAACCTTGAAACTGTCTCCCTGTTTCTAATACAGAATCCACAATTCTTCTGAGAAAAGGAGGCAAATCAAACAGCTTGGAATTCAGAGCCTCCTTCAGGCAGGGTCCAGAGACCAGCAAAAAGAGGGAGTACCTCTGCTTATAGCATTGTCTACACCCACAGGGTTCCACACTCTTATTTGTTCTGCTAGAGTAAAATGAGCCTCGAAATACCTGCCCAACAATAACTTATCTTAATTTTTTCCTTGGTTATTTTGTGTGTATGTTGAGGGAAGGAAGATGGCCAGTTCGGGAGAAAATAATTCCTTTGTGGATGTTAGTAGGAGGTAAAAGGTGGGATAATGTTCCCCCCACGCTGGGAAGTACAAGCTGTAGATTTAAACTAAGAGAAAATAAAGAAGAAATGTTCAGTTGCATTTTCACTGGAAAAAATTCAGGACTTCTTTCTGAGCCAAGTCCCAAAATGTGCTTTACCCTTAGCCTACTAAGAGGAAGGGGATTGCCCAGAAGCTACAATTGAACTAACTGCACTCAGTGGGCAAGAAAGACATTATATTTTGTGCTTGAGACATCAGCATCTGTTGACTAGGGCAAGACATAATTCTCAACCTGCCAAATTGAGGGCAACTTCCACCACCCTGGGACCCACCCCAGAAGCTCCAGTGAGACCTATCCTGCTTCCCAATGGCAACACTATTTTCTTCTTTTAAGACTTTATTTTTATCTCATGAGACACTCTTCTGACTATTCTCATGACCCAGGGAGTTATATGGATTCTCTGGCTTTAGGTTGTTGTAGGGACAGCTGAAGTCCCCCACACCACAAAGCAAGATTCACTGACCCAGTGAAAGACCCATGGGGAGATGTGGGATTCCCAGCTAGGCATTCTCACATACTCCTACCAAATAAGAAGCTACATTTTCAAAGATTGTTTGATTTGGCCTTGTCCTGGCCTTATCCTCAGAATCTGAGTTATCTTAAGTGGAAATATTGTAGGTAGTCAGACACCTGTTTTTTAATGCTTCCTAAGAATATAAACATGTACCTTCACACAGGTAGAGTGAACAAGTAGCAAGCAGTAAGGGGGAAGCAAAAGGCCTCAACAGTCTTCTGCTTGGCCATGATAATGGAAAGCCTAGAGCTGACATGTGAGCAGGTCAGGAATTTCTAAGCTCACGAATGATGCTTTGAGGGCTCAGGCAGGGTAGACTGGGACACTGAAACCTGTCGGTGGGGGAATCTATAAGAGTCACAACAGTAGACAGTTTTGCTTATGAGAGAAGGGACTGAAGCAAAAGAAGGTGTGTAAAACTTGACACAGTGTGGTTGGTAATGCATCAGATCTTCCTGGAAGCAGAGTTAGTAAATTCTTACCTTGGAGAGAGAAATGGGGTACCTTATTTCTTAAACATCTCATATCTAAAGATCTGTGTTCTATTAAACTCCCAACTGTCTCCAGACAGGACCAATCACAAATAAAACATTTTTAAAAAGCATAGACATCAAACAAAAATTTCCAAAGTGAGAATCTACAACTCTAGCAGACAAAGGGTAAGAAAATAACTGGGGATGGGGCTGTGTGAGGAGGTACATGGAGGCCTATTTTAGCTTATAACTGCTTCCCAAGTCTGTCTCTCCCTAGAGTTGTCAGCCCCAGGGCTTCCTCTGTTACAGTTCTTTCTTAGGACTCATATGCAGGGAATCTCTTCCTTCCCAGGAACCTGCTTCTCAGGTTCCCTAGACTTCTCACCCTACATGGTACCCTAGACATCACTTTCCACTTCCACTCTAAGTTTCCTCTCTACCACGTTTCTCCTATTCTGCTCATTGCCTCCCAGATCTCCTCACCTAGGCCTATGTCCTCTCTAACCTTCTCGACAAAACCCCCTAATCCCTCGCTTTTTTGCCCAGGTACCCCCTCTGCTTCTCCTTTCTCCACTGTCTCTCTGTTCTACCCCAGCCGTACCCCACCGAGGAGCCTCGCGCACCCAGTTCCTGGCTGTCCTCGGTCCTCTGCCCTGACCCGTGTCCCGCCTTTTTAGGACCCCTTGACTCTCCGTTACCCTCCCCTAAACCTTAAGCCTCGCGCCAACCTCCCCCACCACCCGGGCCAGCTTTCTCCCCTCGAGCCACAGCCCAGGCGGCTAAGCCCTCTTCCCGCCAGACCCCCGCCCGCGTCTCCCCTCACTTCACGCCCAAACCCCTCAGGCCCCGCCCCCGGCAACCGAGGCCCCGCCCCAGCGCTTCGCCCAAGCCCCGCCCCTCACTCACCTGAGGCAGCTCCGCGCGCGCGCAGGCTAGGGGGGTGTGGGAGAGGGGACGGTATTGGGGAGGAGGGGGGCGGGGCAGCGGGGGTCCCCCACTCTGGCCCGGGCGGCCCAGTGCGGGGGGAGTGGGGTCACTAAGGCGGCGGCAACCGGGCCGGACCCGGGACCCGGGCGCTCAGCGGCGGCGGCGGCTCCATCTCCATCAGCGGCTTCACCTGAGAAGGGACCGGCCCCCCCCATCAACCCCCCCCATCACGGCCGTCCCCCCTCCCCCGAACAACTTCCGGTCCCACTACCAGGCGACAGGCGGCGTGGCCGAACACCGAGCGTCCCCAAGCCGGGGAGACTGCTGGGGGAAAGGGAGAAGAGCTAGGGGAGAGTAGCCGAGCGCCGAAAGATTCAAGTCGGAGAGGCGCGGTCGCGTGCGGAGGGTAACTCAATGACTGCCCCTTCATCTGCATCTGATTTGCAAACTAGGCGCACATTGGACACCCCACGTGCCCTGGCACATCTGCCCCTAGTGCCAAGTTTTGCCCTGCCCCTACTAAGAGAATACTGTTTTTAACCTCTCAGCATTCTTTGCCCTTCCTGCCAAGTGTAGGAATGGGGAGGGGCGGGGAGGAGCTTAATAATGTCAATTTTTAAAATCTCTCTTGGAGGTATTCTGAGGTCAGTCACCTAAGCAACGCTACAGATGCCGGCCGACCTCAGAGAAGGGCGTCCCACTTCTTGACGTCCCTGCACCAGCTTCCCTTCTCTCCTCCCACCTTGTTTTGGATTATCTCACTACGTATTCCAGTACCAGCGCACCTCCCTCCTGCAACATGCTCATGCTCCAGTCTTAAGAAGTCCCAAAAGTCGTAATCTTTTTTCAGAGTTGTATACTTAAACACTTTATTGATGTATTTAGAAAAGTGGAACTATAAAGGGGCAGGATTTCACCCCTCGCAACCCTTGGCAACCCAGAAAGTCAGTAGAAAGTTGCACATACACTTTTCTTACACATATCCACACACATTCTCTGAAGACTCCCAAGAAAAGCAAAATAAAATGGTGATATACATTAGAAGTGTAGGTGGGGTAGGAAGAGAAGAGTGCTTGTTTACAGAATTTCCCCCCCTTCTAGCCCCCTGCTCCTGCAGCTCTCAACTCCTGGCACAACAGGAGTTACGTAACATAGTGTCATGGGAGAGTTGGTGCCTGCTTGGAAATGTGCAATGTGTGTATCTATGTGTGGTTTAGGAAGGCACAGTACAGGGTTGTCATCCAAGAAGTGATGATGAAAGGAAAGGTTTTTCTGTGGTAAGGAGGGAAAAGGATGGGTATGGAAAGAGGTTGAGAAAATGACTCTGGGAGTAGGTAATTCCATTTCACCTTCTCATGGGGTGACACGGACGTGGACACGGTGCCAGGCGTTGCTGAGCACACCTCGCAGGTTCCAGATTGGGGCCACCGTGTCTGGTTGCACATTGTAGCTGTCATCTACAGCCTTACAAACAATGTTCAATTCCTTTTTCCCAGCTGGCACAGGGGCTTGCAGATGCCATAGCCTCCAGGCCCAGGCCTTTCGGGGGCGCTGTTCCTCTCCATCCAGCTCAGCCACCTGCCAGGTTAGGCCCCCATCCAGAGACACATCCACCCTGACCACAGCCCTCCCACCACCACTCCATGCATAGCCCTTGATAGTCACCTCCCCTGATTGTACTGTCTCCCCATCCTTGGGCTCTGTGATGGCCGACTGGACTGGAAGTTCCTGAATAGATGGAGCTGAGTCAAAATCTACTGTGTCCCAGTCCACAGATGGAGAGAAGCCTTTGTAATCCCGCCGCTGCCAGTGACTGTAACTTTCCTCTGGTTCCACACTCACCTTGCCCACCCATTTGACATGGCGGGCACCCACCACACCAGGAACCACCACCCGCACAGGGAAGCCATGGTCACGAGGCAGAGGCTGCCCATTCATCTCATATGCCAACAGGACCTCAGCTTCAGGGTCCATGGCCCGAGCCAGAGGGATGGATGCTCCGTAGGCAGTCCCTGTGGGGTCTGAGTCCAGTCCCTCAAAGCACACGTGAGCCTCAGTTTCACAGAGCTGGTGACCAGCCTTGGCTAACACATCACAGAGGCGTGCCCCAGCCCAGCATGCAGTGCTAATGGCCCCAGTATTCCACGCCAGACCTTTTACTTCTTTGAACCAAGTCATCTCAGAGCGTCGGTTGCCGGCGCACTGAAGAGTGACCGTGATCTCGTGCTTAGGGAACTGGTACAAGTCATCCAGGGATAGGAAGAGTGACTGACACCCAGGTGGCCCTACTACATGCAGGCGATAGGTTTCTGGGTCCAGGTTAGGTACAGGCAGATGGTTCCGGGTGAAGAAGATAGGGTTAGGTGTGATATAGTTTTCTGTCAGCAGTTCAGGGGGGGGCTCTGCATTAAAGGGGCGCTGGCTATTGACCTTCAGGGCTGGGTGACGTATAGGATCATCAGCGTAAGGGTCAGAGGTCTGCAACGTGGAGGGTGCCTTGTCTTCAGGGCTCAGCTCCCCAACCTTGTACTGAGCCAGTATCTCACGCACATGGGGCTGGTCATGAACGGCATAGAGGGCCCAGAAGGGCTCTAGAGGACCCCCTGCTGCTAGCATCAGCTTTGATGCCCCTCCTGGGTGTAGGTCCACAAATTCTGTAACATCAAACACCTCACAGCCCAGAGTCACCCAGATCCTAGTCTCAGGGCTGCTGTGAGATCTCACTTCCTCTCTCGTGTATATGTGTGGTGACTTCTCAGCAGCCTGCAGGCAGGGCAGGGGTAAGGCAAAAAGAAACATAAATAGTAAGAAGGAATCACTCTAGTTCACCCTGACCCAACCCATAAAGTCATGGCCACTGTGAAACAGAGGTAGCAGACTCCATCTTTACTCTGCAGGAAGACAGTATCACCATGGGCTCTGTGTTAATAGCCTGGGTTGGCTGGGGAGCTTAGTAGGGCCCCTCTGTTCTGACAATGAAGTCCCTTCCTTCCCCACTTACCCTGCACCGGTGGTCATGATAGGCCAACACTGCACCAAGGCCTAGCAGAGTCCCCATGACTCTCCATCCCCTAGGGCTGGAGTTATCACCAGAGAAGGCAAGGCTGGGGCACTGGGGCTGAAGTGAATCATTTGTAGAGCAGGCCCGAATGCAGAGCCTTGAGGGGACTGACTGGAGCCTGGAAGAGAGAGAGGTCTTCTTAGTAGCACACTTCCGATCATATGAGAGAGACAGTGAAGGCCTGGGGTTTACCAGGTTGGCCATTGGTTCCTTCAGTTGGGACATTGTTTGTCCAGGGATGGCTGGGGCAAATGGGTGAGCTATGGCTTTCCCTTTCCTCCCTGGTAGTCACCATCTCAACTATCTTATCTGGTAGATAAAACATCATAAAGATACTGGGGGTGGGAGGGAAGGGCTAGGAGACGAGTTCTAGGCCTACCTGCAGGCCTGTCGGAGACGTGAGATCACAGCCCTGTGCCGCAGCATTGTGGCAAACCTGTGGAAAAAAGATTCCAGGATCAAGACAGGGAGTTCTGGGGCGCCTGGGTGGCTCAGTTGGTTAAGCGACTGCCTTCGGCTCAGGTCATGATCCTGGAGTCCCTGGATCGAGTCCCGCATCGGGCTCCCTGCTCGGCGGGGAGTCTGCTTCTCCCTCTGACCCTCCCGACCCTCCCCCCTCGCATGCTCTCTCTCTCTCTCAAATAAATAAATAAAATCTTTCAAAAAAAAAGACAGGGAGTTCTGGAAGGGGATGATATTAGGGCAACTTGAGGAAACCGGTGGAAGAAGGTAAACAAGGAACTCCCCGGCAAATGAGGATACTTTTTCTGTGGTAATGAGGCCAAAGGATGGGAGTGTGTGTGTGTGTGTCCAAATGGGTCCTTAGAGAAAAACCTAAAGGACTTCAGAGAGACTGTGCTGACAGGATGGAAGGGAATGGGGCTGGAGGGAGGGGGTTGGTCTTCTAGAATCACCTATCTCCCATCCTCTATTCTCTACTTTGTCCACTACAGAGAACAATGTTTGGGGCCAAGGGCCTAAAGGACAGAAGCCAAAATATCTACAGTCCAGTTTGCTGGTTTATTATCTCCAAAGTCAGCAGAGGACAACTGAGGGGCAGACTAACTTAGATAGGGAAAAAAAGGTGAAAAAGGTAGTGGTAGCCTAATGGGATGAACGAACTCAGATTCTGGAGTCGAACTGTTTTGGGTTTGTGAAACCGGCCCGGCTATTAACCAGCCCCATTGCCTAGGCAAGATACCAAGCCTCTCAAAACTGTCTCATCTGTGAAATGAGATCTACCTAGCAGAGTAGCTGTGAGGAGCAAACAAGTAATAATGTTGTCTTTGAAGGCCTTTCAGTCCCCTCCTTTCCTCTACCAACCTTAGGGAAAAAGAAAATAGAACCCAGCTAGGAAGTGGACCCCAACCCAGGGTCCCCACCCCTACCTTGTCTATGCCATTCCTGTGAACTCAGCAAATTGGGAAGTAATGGCCACAGTGTCAGGGGATGCGCTAGGGAAGAAGTAATTTTTCCACTCTGCCCTGCAGCAGTTCCTTCCTCAGAGCACTGAGCAGATCACTGACCCCGGGAATGCCAAAATAGGGAAGAGTGAGAAAAGTCCCAATTGCTGGTGAAATGCTAAAGAGGGGGGCGGGCAGGGAAACTGCGAGGGCGAAGGCAATAGGAGCAGGAGCAGAGTCTGCATTTTACCCCTGGGCCTTGAGATCCTCCCTCTCCCTCCCACCTTACCTCGGCGCCAGCAGCCTACTTACAATAACCAGGCTGGAGGGGTGCAAGTAGGGCTGACTTACAGGTGAACTTGGTCAGCCCAGGGTCCCAGGTTTGGGAGAAGCAACCTTCTGCTCCAAAACAGATGCCACACCCCTTGTGCGGGTGGTGGCCCCTTACTCCCCAGGGGCACTTTAGGTAGGAGGGTATATCCAGCCCCAGAGCACCAGCACCCAGTCCCCTGCCACTGCCCAGCTGCTGGCACAACAGTGTCTCGTAGCAGCTGGGCAGCGGGAGTGGAGGCGGTACCGGCAGTTTTTGTTCGAACCCACGGGGTTCGGAGCACTGCCGGGTCCCAAGTAACCAGCCCTTATCGCCCAGGTTACCAGCCCTTCTTCCACCTCTTCCCTCTCCCAGCCCCCCAACCCCCTTACCGGGTTCGGCGTCTGCTCTGCGGCTGGTTTACCCGCCCGGCTCCAGACGACGGCGGGCAAAGGGGCGGGGCCAGCACCGTGACGTTGGTCCAGAGTGAAGGACCACTTTCGCCTCTCAGCTCGTCCCCCAGCCATTGGCTGGCCGCTGGCCGCCTCCCAGCTGCTGTGCCCGCCTCCTGGAGCCTGAGGCAGGCAGGGCGCCACGAGGGGAGCTCCGAGCTAAGACTGTTTTTTGTTTCCATCCCCGCTCGACAAGGAATGGGACCCTCACTGTTGTCCGGAACCGGGCAATGGAAGGTGACGAGGACTCCAAAGGTTGGGCTAAAGGTGGGAAGTTTTGAGATGCCCCCACCCTGCCCCTACAGCTGAGACACAAGGTGCGTTCACTGAAGAGGCCTCGAAATCCAGCAGGCTTTCTCCCGGCGGTGAGCTCCGCCTCTACCCTGTTTTTGACAAACGTTTGTTGCAACTTCAACAGCCTTGTTTGTCTTTTAGTGGAAACAAGGTCAAGCGCTCAATTCTCTTATATCCAACAATAAGAGCAGGAGTGAAGCCTAAATAGTGGTTCAAAGACTTTGAGTTCCCTTGGACTTGCTGATTTTCTTCCCAAATTATGGAACCAACAATATAGCTAGCCGTTTTTTTTCCTTAGTTAAGTCAATTAAAAAATCATTGGTCATAACGAAAGCAATAACATCTTAACACCCCAAAGTAGGATTATAATCCCTCTTAATCTCAGAGTAGAGAGCACTAAGACGTTTGCAATCACCCTTTACCGTTTGGTGCGGGACTGAAAACTTACTTTGTTATTGGCTGGCTGTGAACCTGGGGCAAACGTGTCCACACTGCCCCCTAGAGCTCAAAAGGTTGAACTACAACCTTTAAGTGAAGGTCTCTTTAATTTTGGAAGATCATTTCCCCTCCCTTTCTGCTCTAAAGTGAACTAGAGCTTTTGCCAGGAATCAAGGAACCTTGGAGGGAGTACTAAGAGATGGAAAAGGGAATTGACAGGGAAAAGGTGATTTTGGCCCAAAGGTTTTTGGAAATAGAAGGACTTCCAACTCAGCTGTGTTCAATTAAATCTTTGGCGAGGTATGATGCCCAACCTATCCTACCAGCCTTGAAAAACAGGCTCAGCCCAAGGATACAGAGAAATCAGTTAGGAACTGTCTGCAGCCACAGGATAAGACTTCTCCCTAATAACAGTATCACCTTGTGTGCCCCACACATACTTTACATAATTGACATTTAAACCTCAACTTTTCTTCATTTTACAGAAGAAGAAACTGAGGCAGAGAGCAGCTAAGTAACTTGATCAAGGCCACAGCTGGTAAGTTGGCAGATGGGACTGCAATGCCAGCTCTGACACCAGTCCTCTTTCCTGTCCTTCTGCAACAATACCCAATCTTTCTCTGTATCATTCTCCCCCATCCACCTCCACTTAGACTGTGATGGACTGAAGGGCTTCAAGTACAGTAGCAAACAAGAGCAGATCTAGAAAAAAAAAAAAAAAGAGCAGATCTAGGAGAAATTTTCCTGTTGGGGTAGAAGCCACATGATCAATTAAAAACACAAATTTAATGATTTTTTTAACCTTCTTTAACATGGACCCCTCTGAGATACAAACAAGGCAATGCACCCTTTCGCTGGAGAAATGCATATAAACTTTTGCATAATACTTCAAAGGATTCACAAATACCACCTCTCCCTCCAGTCTCATCCGTTGTCTGCCCAGAGATCCATAGACACCCCTCCCCCCCCGCCAATATATGTTTCATTAAGAGGCCTAAAAAGTAAGCTAGGTTGGATTTGATGAGCTCTCTAGTGGCCTGGGAATAGGAGTTTAACTGCAATAAAGGGAATATTTTCCAAATTGGGCTATGTCATTATTCAAGAAAAGATTAAAGGGAATAAGGAGATACCAAGATGTAGGAGAGGGTGTGTTTCTGATTCAATAAAACATTGGATGCCCTTTCTTCCAAATTTCTTGTATCAGACAGAAAAATAGCAAAAAAAAAAGAAAAAAAAGAAAAAAAAAGAAAAAGAAAAAAGAAAAAAAAAAAGAAGCAACACTCCAATACACTTTTCTTTTCTTTTTTTTTTTTCCTTTTTTACTTACATTAAATACATCGGTAAATCAGCAGTCGCATTCTGTTACCACGATTGTTATGTTGGGAGAGGAAGAAAAGGGGAAAAAGGCAAATGCTTTCTTAGAAGAAGAAAAAAAAGGACACCCCTCCCCCCCAAAAAAAACTGATCAGAAAAAAAATGAAGAGCTGGGAAATAAAAAGTAAGACCCCCAAGCCCAAGAGAGCTCAAAGGAAAGCAGAGGAGCTGGTAGGAAATAGAAGGCAGGCAGCAGATAGGCCCAGAAGCTAAGGCCAATCCTGTTCCTGAGGGGGCTGGGGAGGGGAGAAGCCTGGAGAAATGGTTTCCCAGCCCCAAGGCAATGAAACACTTCACTCCTGTTCCATGGGGAAAGATGCACAGAGGGAAAAAACAAAAAAACAAAAAAACTTCATTTCTAAGGAATTTAAGAGAGCTATCCTAGTTCTTCCACTTATAAGGACGCACTGGGTGCTTTGGGAGGTTGGTAGGTGCTGGGAAAGGAAGGGGAAAATGTATGTGTGTTTCAGGGCCACGGGAACTAAGGCTGCCCCTGGAAAAGGAAGGAAAATGAGTCTTAAGTGGAAGAACCTAAGCTGGGTCCTTCAGAGTCTCAGCTCCAAGGATTTTTCAGCTGCTCTGGGACAGAAGGCAGTCTGTAAACCAAAGGGTAGAAAGGTTCCAATCCTAGGTCACTGTGACCTTTCCTATCTTACTTCCCCCAGTTTTCCCAAAACTCTGGGCTGGAACAAGAAGGAGTTTAGAGTTCTCTCTTGCCTTGATGGCTTCCCAAAGACATCCTAAAATACCTGATGAAGGATGTGAAGAGTGGCTAGAGATTTAGAAAGGACCCACGTCCCCTGGTGATGTGAGACAGCTGTGATGGACCTTTAGTGCCAGTTGTCCCCTATTCACAGGAACAGGTGTTATGGTGTGAGGGGGCCACAAGTAGGCCTCTGTGGTATTAGTCCCTAGTGGTACGTGGATTAAACCACTGGCTGAGGGTGGGTATGAGGATAAGGATGGAGGGACTAAACTGAAGATACTAACAAAGGAGAAAAGATATAGGGCCTGATGGGAGGTGGAGGACAGAACAGACTGTACAGTGGGAATAAAGATCATACCTATTTACAGCGAAGTAGAAAAGACATGGTAATGGGTGGATCATTGAACATGAACCTTAGGAAAGGACAGAAAACTCCTCCCTCTTGCCTGACCCCTCTTCACTCCCATACCATGGCCTAGGCTATCCTGAGACCACTCTCTAGTTGCTCAGTTAATTACCCAGGAAAGGCAAACCTATACTCGAGAGCTAGGTTGGCAAGAATATAGGTTAAGAATCAGAGTTGGAGGAAGCCAGCAGTGGAGACTGGGCTTGAGTAGCTGCCACTGGTCTTGTTCTCTACAGCCCCTCCCAAAACCTCATATATATACTACCTTGGGTTCCATTTAATTAAAAAGGTGAGAGGGCAGGTAAATCAATCAAAACCCCCCATAAAACAAGTATCCCAAGTGAACTACCACCAATTAAAGTGCAAACTGCAGGGGAATATAGTGGCTGGGGCTGAGGCCATCTAAAGGCCAGAGGGGGGGAAATGCATATGTATAAATCAGAGGATGGGTATCAGAAACTGGTCCCTCCTCTAATTAGATCACAGCAGAACCAAAGATGCAGGCAACCAGTGAAGATTCTTTGGAGGACTCTGGGGTCCAGAGTCTCCCCCACTATGGGGGAGGAGCTACCTAAGAGGCTGGGTGAGGGGGAAATTAGGCCTTGGAACAGTTCCAGAGCCATAGGTGACACTGCATCTCCACCTTCTCCACCTCTGCCCAGTTAGCTAACAACACAACTACCCAGTCCCCGAGAGCTTGCCTTCCCTTTCTCACCTCTACCTAGAAACACCCTCCACTCTGCCTACTTGTGGTGTCTGTCTTTTTTTCAAATATGTGAATCTCCTCTTTAAAAAAAAAAAAAAAAAAATAAAAAGGACCTGTTTCCTTACTCCCTCCTGCTCTGAGCCTTACTCTCCCCCAGGGCCCTTAATGTGACTGAACTGGAAACCTCCTTCCTCAGTTCCTGGGTTCACCACCTTCTCCACCCTGGGGAGAGGAGGAAAAGGGGATCAAGAACAGGGATTGACCAAAAGCAGAAGGAGAAGGGGCAGGAGACAAAAAATGTTTTCTGAAAAAATGAGGAGGAGGAAGAGGAGGAAAGATAAGTAGGTCACTGTCTTGCACCTATAATACAAAGTGAAGAAAGTTTGTTTTGGAAGGTTAAGTCCTGGGGGATCTGACCCCCAAGCCCCAGAGTAGGGGTAGGAGGCCAGTGGCAACAGCTGCCTGGTGTTGGTTGCTGAAGCGTTAAAAAGTGCCATGACGGAGCTGTCAGGAGGCAGCCCTTGGGAGCCAGGGCTCAGTGTGCTGTTACCGTTGGGGCTGTGTGCTGAGGGGTGGGGGTGGAGGTTATTTCTTAGCTCTCGTGCTAGCTCCATACTTGTTTGCTGCTAGCCACCCCCTCAGTTGCTACAGCACTGGCTCTTGTTCTGCTGGGACTGCTCATGGAGATCCACGCCTCGGCTTCGGCCTGCTGCACCCCCCAGATTCTGGGGTTCACTCTTTGGCAACTTCTTAGCTAGAGATAAAAAGAGAAGGGAAAAAAGTATGGTCGATTTTACTCATCCCTCCAAAGGACTATGGGTAGGGGAGAGATGGGGAAGGGAGAAATCTGAGAGATTAAAAGAATGTTTTGAAGAGGGGAAAAGGTTCACTTGTAAATTACATTGAAGATGAGGGGGCTAAAGCCGCAGCCAAAGGATTGAGGTCATAATGGAAAGTTAAGATATTTCCATACCTAAAGTTTTCACAAGGGGAGACATTCCCCTCTACCCTTATGACTTGGGTTAGTGATCTTGTCTAGAGGCAAGGGAAAAAGACAGGAAGATCCCAGGCTGCTCTGACCTTACCTATTGCCAGGAAGAGATCGTTCACGTTCATAGCTGTCTTGGCTGAAGTCTCCATAAACAATAAGCTGTTGTCATCTGCATAGGCCTGGGCCTCCTGCAAGGGGTGGGTGTACCAGTACTCAGAATGTAGGGTAGGAACAAGTATTGCCTTTCCACTCCCATGTAGCACCAGAGCTAGGCAATATCCTAGGTTCCCTCCCTTTAATTGCCCCTCTGAGCCAGCTGGCCCTGGACCCATATTTTGGTGACAACTCCCTCAAGGATAACTCATGGTCTAGACAGCTTAATCCAACAAGCAGGTGTCAGGAATCTTTAATTATGAGGAAGAAGGTGAGTTGGTTGGGGGCTTTTAGGTTGTGACACTTGAATAGTCCCTTACCTCAAAATCAACTGTTCCCTCTTTCCCGTTTTCACATCAGTACCCCCATAGTTGGTATTTCCCTACCCCTCTGCTCTGGAATTTTCTTCTGTCTCCTCTAAAATCTCCTGGCTGTCATTAGGGTCACAGTGTTGCTGTATTTAACTTGGTGTGGAACTGAGGAATGAGATGATAAATGTCCTCAGATGAGGTTTTCAGAGAGGGCAGGTTTATGGAAAAAAAGGTCCCAAGCACAGAGGGAGTGTGTTACAGAGGGATTCTCTGGGCCATCTTACTTCATACTCCACCATGCGCTTATTGGCCAGGTCAGCTTTGTTCCCCGCCAGGGCAATAACGATGCTAGGACTGGCCTGTCGCTGTAGTTCCTTTACCCATGTCTTTGCTCGGGCGAAGGTTTCCTAGGAAAACATAAGAGAAGAATTGGCCAGAATGACTGCCAATCCAGGTCCATCATCTTCAAAACCCAGTCTCAAAACTCACCTCTCCCAGGCAGGCTTCCCTCACTGAAACCACTTGTGTCTTTGTAATTCATTACCTCAGTCTTACCAGCACGTGGAAGTGTAAATTATATTCTTATTTTGCTATTTCAAGAACCAGCTTTCTCTTCCCCACCTATTTTAATTCCTCTAAATAAAAGCAAGAGAATCTTCTCAGCCCACTTACCTGATTAGTAATGTCATAAACCACAATGGCAGCTTGGGCACCTCTGTAGTACATGGGGGCCAAGCTATGGTATCGTTCCTGCCCAGCTGTGTCCCAGATCTCAAACTTGACTGTTGTGTCATCTAGACAAACAGACTGGGTGAGGAAGGCCGCTACGGATGAGAGAATGGAGGGTAAGAAGTTGTAAGTGGGAGGGTCAATGGGAAAATCCCAGCCCCCTTCACAATATTTCCATTTTCTAAGACCAGTCACCACCCAGGTCATTGAGCTAAGGAAAAGGTTTTCCATTCCCCTCCTTATGTATAGGTCCTAGAAGCAGGATTAAGACTGCCCTTGGCTAAGTCCTTCCTGCCAGAAGTTTCTCTACCTAAGGAATGGGGGCACA